TGTGCGCATTTGTGTCCTCTGAGCTGGGTGGCATGCATATTGAGTGGAATCCTCCTGGAGCTCAAGGGAGGTCAGGAGGCCCCCAGCACATCCTGAGACCTTTGGTTTGAAAGCTGACTGGTTGTCAGTCCATGGGCTAGCTTATGGGAAGCCAGTGCTCCCCACTGGTCTGAATAGCCTCTGATATGGTTTGGCTGTGTCCCCAACCAAATGTCATCTTGAATTGTAGTTTCCATAATCTCCACGTGTCATGGAAGGGACCCAGTGGGAGGTAATTTAATCATGGGGTGGTTACCGTCATGCTGTTCTCATGATAGTGAGTGAGTTCTCACAAGATCTGATGGTTTTCTAAGGGGCTTTTCCCCCTTTTGCTCAGCACTTTTCCTTGCTGCTGCCATGAGAAGAAGTATGTGTTTACTTCCCCTTCTGCCATGATTGTAAGTTTCCCCAGCCATGGTGAACTGTGAGTCAATTAAACCTTTTTCCTTTATAAATTGCCCAGTCTTTGGTATGTCTTTATTAGCAGTGCGAGAACGGACTGAACAGTCTCCTTCATTATTTTGGTCTGAGCCCTGATTTGGCTACATTTAAGATGGGATTGGCAAATACATGGTACACCTTACCCTTCAATTCATTGTCTGTGGATCACTAGCTAGTCATGACCCTCTTTCCTACTGAGCCCAGATGTGGCCTCAGAATCTGTCTAAACCCAGTACCCCAGGCAATGGTGACTAAACGTCTAGAGTGCTGGTTTAATTGGAGAGAGGGAATCTCTTGGTGGGCCCTGTCTAGGTGGCCTTCTCATTCTCAAACCTTCATGGCTTGGCGTTGCCACTGGATACACCAAGCACTTCGTGGTTCTTTGTCTTTTTTATACCTCGTCCTGCAGGGGCTCCTCTTCAGAGGACCAGCCTTGAGGATAACTGTGCTCAAAGAAACCACAAGTTCGAGTGTTCCCTGGAGCATTAGTTTCCAGCATATCAACGGGCTTCAAGACAGTCCCACATACTTAGGCTTTGCTATAGAAAATGTTTATGCCTTTAGACCCTAAATAGCTGTATTTGCCATTTTGCAACTCTTTCCTGAGAAAACAGGTTCTTCTGGGCTTTAGAAGCTTTCCCGTTGTTTGTTGGTCTCTGTTTGGGTGGGAGTGGGATCAGCAGGTGCCCTCAGCTAAATGTTTATGTCACTCTGGGTTAAACAGAAGCATCAAGCTTAGGTGATATAATCTTCAAACAGGGCCATGGGGGAAATTTGGAGCAGGAACAAATCTAGATAAAGGAAAGAAAATTCCATTAAAACTGTTCACAGCCAAAGAATCCCTGACCACCCTCTGCTACCCACCTTTACAGACAGGATGGCCATCCTTCTCTAGTCAAGACCAAGTCCTACTTTCAGGATTTGTTCTATCTTCCAAATAGTCAGTACGTGTCCTCTTTTAGATATTGGACTTGGTAAAGGGCCTCTTCCTTTGAAGACCACCATTAGCTGCGTCCTCAGCCTCCTCCAGGGTGGTTACTCCACCCCACATTCCCAGCCCTCCCCAGGATGTGGCCCTCCTCTGAGAGAATCTTGAGTTTACTTCCTCAATGTCCAGGATGTGGCATCCAGAGTTGGGCAAAAAGCACACAGGCCAGCCCTGGTGAAATGGGAACACGTGTTGACAAATGCTCAGTGGATGGTTATGGACTGCTGGGCCATAGTACTTCTCTGGCCCTGTCTTCCTAACCTCTCTTAGTTTTCCCAGTGAAACACTTGCCAAGCATTTACCAAGCACCTACTGTGTGCCAAGGGGCAGAACCAAAGCATGTGTATTAAAGGAATTCACATCCAAGGGGCAGAACCTCCAAGTATTTCCTCAATCCCAGATTCTTGTAGAAGGTTCTGGCTTAACAGATGAGTAACAAAGTGTGACATGAACGTGAAAGATGGGCAGATAATTTCCCATGGCTTGGGCAGTGGGAGGACTAGGAAGGTCTGACAGAGTGGTGGGCTGGCCTGAGCCACGAAGGCCAGGCAGGGCTTCCTCAGGCAGGAAAAGGTGTCCTGGCTAGAAGGGACAGCACATATAAAGCACGCTGGTGGGAGGTACATGGCCTGCCTGGTGTCACATGGTTGATGATTCTAAGGGGCTCTCAGGGAGAGTCATAGGAGACAAAGTGAAGAAAGCAGTATAAGGCCAGAGTTAGGGTCTAGTCTCATCCCTGAGCAATGGGGAACCATTGGTCGGTTTTAAGTAAGAGTGGAGCGTGGAACGATCCTCTTGGCTGTTGTGTTGAGGTTTTCCTGGATGGCAGGGGTAGGAGGGAGAGAAGGAGAAATAAGAAAGAAGCTGCCTTTCATCAAATTAGTCCACAGCACCTTGCAGGTGGCCCTTGGAGTACATGTTTATCCTATGTAGAAGCCCCTGTCCCTTCCACAAACCATCTTGTGAAGCCCCTTCAGTGACTGCCGGATCCCAGACGGCTTTGGGTGTGCTGACTCCACACATAGAACCCTCACCCAGTCTTTCCTGAGCCCTCCATAGCATAGGCAAGTTAACTTGTGTGTGCTGCACAGGTCTCCCTTCTGGAAGAAGTTGCTGATTCTCTGCAAGGAGTGTAGGTAGCGGAGAGTCTCCAGCTGTTAACACCTTCAGGGTCTGCCTGAGCTTTTGAACTGAGACCAAGCTCTTGCTAGGCAGCCCCTGCAAATGACTGAGCATGATGGTTTCTCTAGGGCTTGGCCATTTCTGTACAGCTTCAGACACCTCTAATAAAAATCTTTGTTTTGGAACTCCCTGTTGGGTTGGCTGGGACTTGGTCAGACTTGCACCATTGTCTGAGCTTCTGTCTGCCTCCTCCTGCTTGCCCCCTCCCTTTTGCCTTCCACAGGTATTGCCTCCAGCACACTGTTTGCATTCCTACTGTGTCTCAGCATCTGTTTTCCTGGGAATACAGCTGGCCCACCTGAACATATGATCTGTGCTGCTGTTGGTGCAGGAGGACAGGAGGGAAATAAACTGGAAGCCATGGATGTGGAGAGTCTGGCTTCGAGATGGAGCTTGTTTACCTGCAGGTGGGGCTCCACTCCTGAACCCTGTTGAGTCCCCCGCCTGGCTGTGGTACGAAGAGCTACCCTGCATACCCTCACCCAGTAGTGGAGTAGGCCGAGGCAGCCAGTATGGGGTCCGGCGAGTGACATGCATCATCGAAGGTGCTTATTATTTTGATGAAACACAACACATTTCTTTCAGCCCATAAAATCAAAGATGTGCAAAAAGGCTGTTTTCAGGGTATAAAACACCCCTTGTTTCCCTGTGGTAGTGCATAGCTATTATGCCTCTGGAGCCTTTGTGCATTTTTCAGGTGTGAGTGACACGAGGCTGACTGGGTGGCCTTGGCATCTTGTTTCTTTAGAGAAAAAGGAGGAGACAGGGCTTCTTCCCGATTCCCTATAAAAACCAGTTTTTCTTTGAAGACCTACCTTTCCCACTAGTACCTAATACCAATTATGTCTTTCCAGAGATGGTGAGCTTCTTCTGGTAGGATTTCTTGGAAACCTTGTCTTAATAACCCGATCATCCTGGTGCGATAAGAATATACGAATGGGAGGCCAGTGTGGACAGTAATAGGGCCGAGAGGCTTCATCTCCCCATAGAAAGTATAAGACACAGACAGTATAGCTGAGATGATGAGGACCTGGGCTGTAGCGGGTCGTGGGAAAGGAGAGAAAGTGGAGTTGGGAGAGCAGGTGGGAGGTGGGACACATCTAGAAGGGACTGGGTTTCATCACCAGTAACTGCCATGAGTCTAACTTAGTTATCTGGTTGGATAGGGATGCATTTACTGAACTGGGGACCCAGGAGGAGTTGGGAGTAATTTGAGGAAGAGAAGTAACTCCAGTTTAGCATCTTTTGACTCGGAGATGCCTGAGATGTCCCAAAGAGGACATTCCAGTTAACTTTCAGTTTCCTTTAGTTCTGCTTGCAAAATCAGACAGAAGCAACATCCTGTCAGAGGCTGTTCTTCCCCTTTGGTCCCTCTGCTGGGCTTTCTCCAGCCCCTTGCCCTCAGGCAAGAGAGGAGCCAGCAGTGCAGTCTGCCAGGGGCTCCAGGGGCAGGCTCTTAACACAGCAGGGCCCTTCGGCTGTTCCACAGCAGGGCCCTTCAGATGTTCTGTAACTGACAACCCCAGGCCCACTGCCTGCCAGCATCTGTTCACAGAGACACGGCATCACAAACTCTCCGGACTGGAAGGGACGTTGGAGGTCATCCACTCCAGCTTTGGGGATGGCATTTTCAGACTGTTCTAATAACTCAAGAGTTACTCCTTCTTTTGTGCGGAAGACTGTTTCTTCTGACTTCCTCTTAATATGCTGTCAGGTCTCCTTCCTAAGGAGAAGCATGCTGGGCCTCGTTTTTGTGGATCTAGCAGCGAGAGACATGACGAAGCCAGATTTGGGAACACAAGTTCTTTTTGTCCTTCACACTACAGCTACGAGAATGGTCTCCATGGTTACAGCAGCTTCTCAGAAATGTCTGGATTTTTCATTTTCTGTATTTCTCTAAATATCTAATTTATGAATAATCTGCTTAGGTGAACCCTGGAAAGTTTCTGCATGTATATGAATATCAAGAAATCCATATTTATATACATTCAAAATAAAAGAAAAGTAGGCTGATAGGCATTTTTGGTAAATTTTTTTCTCCCACTATAAAAATAAATTAGGATTGACTTTAAAATTTTCAAGTTAAACAAGATTCAATGAAAGAAACAGTGCCTTCATGTTCTTCAAAGGCATGTGAGCCATAGAGTGGCTGAAGCTAACCTAATTATGTTTTCTTTAATGTGAAATAGCTATTTACCCGACATTCCATTTGCATCTCACCGTCACATTCAACTGGCTGGGACATTGATTTTTTTCTAAGGCTTCCTTTGAACATGAAAGTGTTTTTCCTGTTTCTCTCCACTCCCCACCTTGTGAGATCCATGATAAGAATGAATCAATAATTACATTGTTGGATAAAAATGAATATAAATTTTATTGAAAAACAACACCAGCAACAACGTGGGGAAAGCATACTTAACAGCCACCGGCCCACACAACTCAATGCACACATTATGAGAAGTAATCACCTCTTTCAATTGCTGACTACTTACTCCAAATGAAAAGAAATTATAGACCTAAGATAAACCGAGGTGGGCTATAGAGGCACACCATCTTTGAAAATTTTGCCAATAGCAAATGATGTAGTGATGCTGTTAACTCTCTGTTTGCTGCAGACAGACCAGGATATCTCAGGAATTAATTGGTTTCGAGAAGAGAAAACCCACTCCTTCTAGTGAACATGGCATCTAAAACCTCAGACCACTGGGAAAACTTTTCTCCTTTTCAAGTCCTTTGAGAAGAGGATTTCACAAACTTTCTTGGCAACTCGTCCCTCCTGCTTAACAACAGGAAATAGTTCTTTATGTCTAGCCGAAATCCTTCATGCTTCAGTTAGTCTATTTATTTCCTTTTAATCTCAGCAGGCAGTGAGGAGGCTGTCCTGGTAGGACAATGTAACATATGGGGAACTCACAATGATCATAATCGGATTGAAAATGGAGTCCAGCTGAGCTGGTGGCACTTCTGAAACAAGCTGGAGAGAAGTGAACTGCAGTCATGGTGGTAGTGCCTCTGCCCACCACTCCTCCACCCTCGGTTCCCTTCTGCCCTGTGGCCTGGGGGCTGCCATCCCGAGAATTGCAAGCAGATACCCTCTGAGTTTGATCGGTTCCAATCCTTCATTGGTATAGTAATGAGTGTAGTCACAGCTGTTCCATCCAGTCCTACGTCCAGTGCTTCTGTTTCAAGAAGTGATTTCCAGGCACAACTGTCCCATCACATCCCTTGTCTTTTCAACACACCAGGTTGCCCCCAGGATGCCTTCACAGCTTGTGCGTGACAAAGATGTCCTCCGTGTACCCATGAGGAAGCGCTGAGAAGCCACGAGAAAGCACCTAGTGATTTTAACATAAACATTTCCACAGCATTTTCAAGTTCTGCGTAAAAAGCCGGGTGATAGAGCGGCCTCGCGGCGTACAAAGCCGGCAGCTCCGCACTTCGGACACCTGGGGGCGCCCGTGCCATTCCGCCGGCGACTGGGACTCGTCGCCCGGGAAACAAAGATGGGGATTTGGAGAAAAGCCTTCAAAATGCAACTCCGAATGTCTACCCTGAGCAGCATGCGTGTAAAAATTCATGAAGATTAGATTTCATTTCATGTATTTTTACTTCAGTGGAAAGAAATGCAGGTGATTTTCTGACTGCGCCTACAGCTGTCTTTACCAAGGGGGTGCTTGGTTAAATGAGAGGGAGGGGCTTGCCGATGCCCTGCGGTGCTTTGAGAGGCGGGGCCTCCCTCTCTGGTGCTGGGGACAGCTCCTATTTTGCTGGGTGGCATTCTCTGCATGCTCCAGGATGTATTGATTAATTATATTACATATCGAAAAGGTATGGGGTCTCCAGCAGGACTAGGCGAGACAGCCAGCGCGGGGTCCAGTGAGTGACATGCGTCATCCAAGGCACTTATTATTTTGATGAAACAAACACATTTCTTTCAGCCCATAAAATCAGAGGTGTGCAAGAAGGCTGTTTTCAGGGTGTAAAACTCCCCTTGTTTCCCTGTGGTGGTGCATAGCTGTTATGCCTCCGGGGCCTTTGTGCATTTTTCAGGTGTAAGTGACACGAGGCTGGCTGGGTGGCCTCGGTGGCAGAGACTGCGGAGGGTGCAGGACCAGCCCAGGACAGTTCAGTCCCCCAGGGGCGACACCCCTTGTGCTCGATGCCCCCGGTCTGTTGGATGATGGGCACCTTTGTGAGCTGGCTCTGGGCTAGGCCACCCTGCTGGGTGGCAGTGGGGACTTTTAGGGGAGGGATCCCGTGGGATAATGAACAGAAGTGTCCGGAGCCTGGATCTTCAGTCAGGACCTGGGCAAGGGAGGCTGCTGCCACCTGGCAGTTTCCTCACCCTGTGCTCTGGATGGCCAGGCCCCCTTTGTTCACCTCTGTAGCCCAAGCATCTGGCACTTACCAAAGCACCCCATGGACATTTGTTGGATACAGGGATGTGAGGGTGAATGCCATGGAGGAAGCTGTGAGGGTCCCAGCTGGCCCTGGCTGTGGCTGAGCCTGGAGGCCTGAGGAGGGGCAGTGGGGAGAGGTACCAGGCAGTGCTGGCTCTCAGGGGTGGGGGGCACTGGGACAGCCAGGGGCCATGGAGCTGGAGAATCCAGGAGTTCGGCAGGGAGTGTGTCTGTGTGCCAGGATGGTTCTGCAGTAGCCATGCGGGGCCTCTCTCGCCTTTCCCTCTCATGTGCCCTCGCTGAAGCCAGCCTTTCCTCCGTTGCCATGGCAACGGCAGCCTGAGGCGCTGCTGAGGGCCAGCTGGGCAGCCGAGGCCTCTCAGTCTGGCCTGAGCAAGCAAGGGGCCCTGAGCTGTCCCCATGCAAGGTGAGACTGGAGGTGGGTATCTTCTCAGAGAAGGGAGGAAAGGAGATGGGATGGGACGTTTGCTCTGAGACAGGCACAAAAGCTGCTCCCGTGCAGCTGGAAGTCTTCCCAGCCCTGGCTTTGCTGGTAGAGATGCTGGGGGCAGGCAGAGCCCTGTTAAGGTGTGAGTCTCCTCGGCATTGCCGCACTGCACTACTCACCTGATCTGCGGCCAGGTCCTTATTCACGGCTATCTGCAAGGCTCCCCAAGGGCCTGGCCAGCCTCTGGAGGCTCCCTGTGGAGGCGGGGCAGGGGCCTGAGACCCAGGCTCTGCGAGGGCCTGGAGGGCACTCCAGGCCTTAGACTGAACTAACTACCCTGTGCACTCCTCTCAGAGCAGAGCTGGAGGTCTTACACCCTCAGACACAGGCTGCAGCTCTGCCGACAGTGTCCCTCCCACCTGCACAGCCACAGCGGGCATGGGCTGCTCTTTGCTTTGGAGTCTCCTCACAACTTTCTGGTTGTCACATTCCTGACTATACTTAGGGATGGTGGAGATAATCAGCTTCCAGCCAGTTGTGGGTCAGCTAGATTCCTCACCACACCCTTTTACTAGGGCTCTCGAAGAACAAGAAGTAGCTAATGAAGAAGCAGCAGGATGCGGAAGATGATCAGGTCTGGGAGGAGAAGATAGTCCAAGATTCCCTGGGGGCCTGGAGCTGTCGAGAGGCATGGTGATGTTGCTTGAAAGGGGCTCTGTGATTCAAGGACAACTCAGCCTTGCAAATCATGTCCCCTTGGGCACGGAAGAGAATTCTCTAAGCATCATGTGAAAAGCTGTCAACCTGGGCAATATCCCTGCTTTCCCACATCAGCCCTACAACAACAACAACAACAGCAGCACTAACACGAGAAGGGGCATCTGGATGCAGGTGTACAGTTTACAATACCTTAGATTTACATAGCACCTTTTTCTTCTAAAGAGCCACTGCTTCTGTCCCCTCAGTCACAGCCACACCTGAGTGAAGCCTTTGGAACACAAAGATCACAGCTCCTGTTTCAGAGGAGGGACACTGAGGCAGAGGCCTAGAAGGGATTTCATGCAGACTCAGTGGTGTCCAGGGCTCCCTGCACTTCCCTTGAGCCCTCCCTGGGGAGGTCTGGCTTGGCCCTTTGGGAGGGTAAGACTGGGGCACAGGCCTCACTGGGCATTCACCTTGTATTTCAGGATGTAGGAGTAGAAGTTGTGGTTGGCATTCTCCAGCACCATGACATAGACTTCCTGGCAGCCAGCTGTGCTGCAGCTGCCCTCCCAGTAGCCCTCGTGGTTCAGGGTCAGGGGCCATGTGTCCTGCCCCTTTACCAGGACTTTGGCAATACCATGCAGCTTCAATTTGAATGGGATGTTCCGGTTGGCAGGAAGCACACCCGACAGAGGCTCCAGCAGCTCATTGTCCTGCCCCCAGTTGCCAAAGCTCTCAGGGAACATGGGCCAGTTCACCTTGGTGTTGGCACAGCATAGGAGGTAATTAAAGACGAAGATGTAGTTTCCTGGTTCCTGCCTCTTCTTGACAAAGATCTTGAGGGCAAACTTGCCGGCATGGGGCAGCTGGACTTTCAGCTCGGTCCGCTTCTCCCAGTGCAGCTGGAAGATGTAGCGCCGCTGTGTCTCCTCAGTGATGGGGCCATCATCCCCATGGAGGGAAGCCAGGACGTTAATGCCCTCCTCTACGCTGAAGCTGATGGAGCAGCGCCCATCGCTGGTGTGGATGATAGGGTCAGGGTGGGAGGGCTTCATGATGCCCATCTGCTCTGAGAACCAGCTGGGGCCCACGGGCTGGTGAAGCTCAGCAGGCAGCCGGACACCCATGTCCACATAATTGCACTTGAGCGTGTACTCCAGCACTGAGCTGTAGATGTCGGAGTTGCCCTTGGCAAAGATCTGCAGCTTGTGAGTGCCCATGGTTGGAGGGTACACCTCCAACTTCATCCCATTCTTCCTGAGGCTCAGCAGCCCATGCTCTTGCTTGCCGTTGAGCATGAACATGAACAGTGTTGGGGCGCAGCTCTCAATGGTGACCGTGGCCTTCCCGTTCACTGTGGAGAGAAAGTCGGGGTCAACAGAGATGGGTCCAGCATGTGCTGATGTGCTGGTAAATGTCTAACAACTGTCTCCCTGGGAGAAAAACGTCTTGACTTATAGTGCTTGCCTATTTCCATGGTGTCAATACTTTCACCACAGTCCATTTCAAGCACCCAATATGACTTCACTGAGCGTGGCAGCAGCCAGTGGCAGCGCACCGCTGGAAGGGTTCCCTACTCCCTTCAGGTAGTTTTCTTTGAGATAAATGAAAGCTAAGGAGCCTCTAGAAAAATTTGTCGCCAGCGGTATGTGTGCATCCTGCCCATTTGATTCACATTAGATGAAGGTTGCCTATGTCCAGAGAGGATCATGGGGCAGGAGGGGCACCTTCTCCCCCAAGTCTCAGGTCTAGCTTTCACCTTGCTCCCTCCAGCATCTATCTAAGTGTCAATGCTGTCATGTCAACACATTGTCCTTAAAACTAGTGAGAATGGGTTCACTCCCTGAGACTGTGCACAGGAGGTTGGGGTGGGGCAGTTCCCTGATCCCCACCTCCCCCACCCCATGCTTCTCACATAGGTGTATCTTAGCCATGTTTCAGGAATGGGTCCTGAAAAGCCGGTGTGTGCACAGGACGGTCTTTTGCAACCCCCACACTGCCACACACCACCACCCCCACCGCCGTCTCTCCCTTTGAAACTGCTCTGCAGTTTCATCTTCATCTGTCCTGGTCATTGATTTTTCAGGGAGAATTGGTCAGTTCTCTAGTCTTTGTAGCCCATGAGGACCCACCTGCCTGGTCCTTCCTGGCTCCCAGGGCCACAGGGAGGGGCAGTGGCTTCTTAGAGCCTGGCCTTACTTCTCTCAGAAACTGGTCATCTGCTCCCAGCCCCAGCAACCTCCCCAGCCCTGTTCACAGTTGAGCGCAAAGGAAGGAGAGAGGCTGTCTGATCCACGTCACCAGGAACGTTCCCCTAGCTTGGGCTCTTGGTGGGGGAGGCAGGACACTGTGCCTGGGCTCTAGGATAACGTCCTGAATACACTTCCCATTGAATGTGCATTCCATGCCAACTCCCACCTCAGGAATGGGAGAAGCCCATACGGGCCAGCATGATGGGGAGGCTGCTTAGACAGCTCCTCTACCTTCTTCACGGCTGTTCTACCTCGAAAGCTGTCCCAGCCTTCTCAGATGCTGCCCACTCTGCACCTGCCCTGCACTCCCACATGTCCCCCCCACTGCCTCCGTTTCCTCTCTGCCCCTCAGCTTTCTGGCACCCCAGTGACTTCCCTCTGCCCCCACCCTCCAGTGACTTCCTAATAATGAGGCCCCTCAGACCTTGGAGGACCTAGGCTGCTGGCCTCCACGCCTTCCTCGGAGTCCTCTCCTCCCTTTGCAACCCCCACTCTTTGAGGCCTGGCCCTCATCCCACTCTCTGAGCACTGCTTAACCCCAATGCCATTGCTTCCCCTTCTGTTACACTGAAATCGTGTGACTCTTGGTGCTTGAGTGCTATTTTATTTGCCTACTTGCTTTCTCTACTGCCTTCAGCCACTGTATGCCACATCTGTCCCGTGGTAACCTCCAAAGGAAAGTGACCAAGATCAACAGACTTGCTATCTCCTCTTGGTGAAAAGCCCCCTGTCCCCTCACTTCTGAACTAGCTCAGCGGGCAGAAGCTACCTCAGCTCCTCACTGCGCATGGCCCCTGTCCTGTTCCATCTCACAACTGGCCGTGAGTCCTGCACAGCGAGGCCCAGATCCCCCTGCGATTCACTTTTGATTGTGGAGCACCACCCAGCACCCCACAGAGCAGCCCCAGGGCTCCTTTGAAAATGTTTGCCTGGCTACTCCCGGGCTCATGGCAGAGCCCTGAAGCTGGAGACCCATGCAGAGACCTGTCTCTTCCTGCCTCGCCAGTATCAAGCACTCTGGTAGATCCTCCAAGGCCACACCCTTCATGCCTCAGGGTCCTCCCACCCACTCCTCCCTCCCCACCACTTCCCTCAAACCTGGATAAGGCCTCGTGGTAATGTCCCGATGGCAAAGCAGCCCACCCGGACCCTTCAGCTGAGGCTGAGTTCCCTGGCAAGCTCTCTCCTAGCCCTGGCTCTCCTTCAGAGAACGTTCCACTGCTGTAATTCATCACGTGAGCACTTCTGTGTAGTGTCTGAACTCCTTGCCGGGCTGTGGGCTCGGTGGGGAAGGGGCCAGCCTGCTTCATTTCCTGCCATGTCTTAGTGCCTGGTTGCGGTGTCTCACCCAGAGGGTTCTTGCCAAAGGTGTGTTGAATGACTGGGAAGACTTGAAATAAAGGACTGGTCACCCCTGCAGACCTCTGTGGGAGCCCACGGGCTCTTCTAGTCCCCCCGCCTCCTCCACCTCTCCTTTCCCCTCCGAGGCGCTCTCCTGGAGCCCGGCAGCTTTCCACCCCCTTATCTAGGTGCCCTCTTCCTTCCCTTCCTTTCTGCTCACCTCAGTTTCCCTATTTTGCTTCCTTCCCCTCCCCACTCTTAACTAGCTACCACAAAGAAATACTCTGTAAATATGTATCAGATATATGGAATCATATTTAGGTTTAGATTTCTATAAATTAAGGAATCTGGTGTTTATATTTTTATGTCTCTTAAAAAGGCAAACTCCACTCAATGGCATCAGTTTGGTATTGCTTTGACCTGGTCAGTTCCTTCCGATGGTTCAATGGCCTATGATACATTGAACAAGCCCTCCATCTATTGTAAGTGCAGGAAATGGATTCCCAAAGTGAGCAACTTCAGGCTGTTATTTTAGCCACAGGAGCTGCCAGGTATTTGGAGATGGAAGAGTATGCAAGAGCTCAGCAACCTGGCAAAGGAAGCTCTTGTGTGGTGGAAGGGACAAGTCAGTTGGAACTAACTTGGGGGCACGTGTGCTTCCGGCTGCCCCATTGCCCTGCAGTGTGGGTGGGAGCTCCCCAGGGGCTCTGGGCCACCCACAGGCCCTTTGTGCTAATAGTCAGCATGATCTCAGACCTCCTGTCCTGGGTGGATGGCGTCCCCAGTGGCAGAGACAGTGCCGCCAGGCAGTCCTTTGCTGAGGTGTGGAAGGCTGGGCTGACCTGACTTACAGGGCTCTGCAGTGTGCCCAGGCTGTGTGCCCAGCACTGGATCAGGTGCCAAGGCCTTGGAAAGGCATAAGAGACAATCTTCCAGAGAAGGCCCTGCATTTTTGTGACCAGTTCTGGCCCCCCCAAGGTAGCCCCCATATGCCTCAGAGTATGCAAACATACTCAGATGCTATGGCTCCATGGTGAGGGTTGGGGGAGCAAATGTCAGCCCAGGCCAGCCATGGGAGATGGCTAAGCTGGGTATCCTATACTGCCCCAGGGGGTGGGCTGGAAACCGCTGGGTCCCGCCTCCAGAAGGGAGGGGTACTGAGCCAGCCAGACAGAGGTCTGGAGCCTGGCCCTCATCTAGGGGTGCCTGAGTTTGGAGGCTGGGGGCTTACTGTGTCCCCTCTTCTCCTCTGCTGCCTAAAACATGTCCATCTCTGTCTAGCTACTATGCCTGTTCTCTTCTCCCAAGACCCAGCTCAGAGGCCACCTCCCTAAGGAAGTCTGCCCCAAGTCTCTGTCTTGGGTGGGACTGCCCCTACCTGTCCTGGGAGACCCCTGCTGCTCCCCACCCTTGCTGGTTGGACCACCAACACCCAGATTGCAGCTCTGCTGAGGCCATGTATTCTCTCCAACAGGAGTTGGGGAAGAGAACACAGCAGGCCAGTAGCTTCTGTTGGGCACCTGAGCCCAGAAGCTATGTGTAGTGGGGGTGATGCAGTCCTTTTCCCTGCTCTGTGAGCTGAGAGAGACTCACCCAGCTAGGAACCACTCAGCCCTGGCTTCTGTGACAGGCCAGGCTGTGTGTCCAGCCCTCAAGTTCTAGGAAACCTTCAGCCTTCAGACACATCCCTTTCTGGGTTTATGCTAGTGTGAGTGAGCTTCTGTCCCTGCTGATGTGGCCTATGGCCCTTCCCTGCCCTGATGGCCTGGGCTGCCTCAGCAGCCCCCACACATCCACATGCACACACAAGCTTTGTGCTAAGCTCACAGGCCATGCTCCTGGAAGGGCATGCCCTGAAAGCACAGTGTCAGGCGGGCTCCCGGAGGACAGTGCGAAACGCTCCATCCCTGCTGCTAGTACACAGGCACCTGCTCCGGGCTCACCTGTTCTGATCATGGAAGTCTCCGGGTGGGCACTCAGCATCCCTTTGTTGTAGAATTCACTCTTGTGATACATGTTGTTCTCAAACTGCCTCAGAGATTGAGGAGGTTTTAGCAGCTGCCAGTTCTTGTTGTCTGGGAAGTGGTCCTCGATGAACAGTGCAGGATGGGTGAGGAAGTAGAACTCATTGTAGCTGGAGCAGAGACAAACTGGTTAGCAGCCAGCTCTGTGTAGAGGAGGCAGGGGCCCAACACACCCACCGGAGCGGTCCTGTGGACACCCTGGATGGGAAGAGGTGCCATCTCCAACTCTAACATGGGCACTGGAGACTCCTCCTCAGTGGATGCTTCCAGAAATTGTAGCCAAGGCAGGGTCTGAGGTCGCTTCTAAGGGAAGCCACAGTGCCCTCAGTGCCCTAGGGTGTCGTGGGGAAAATGGACTCCCTCATGCTCAAAGACAATCCGAAGTTCAAAGGGGGCAAAGACATAGCCTGTGGAACACGCAGTGGGGTCGTGGGAAGACAGGGGACAGAGCGCTTGAATTCACTGCCTCCATCTACCACAGCCTGTTTCTGTGCTGTGCAGCTGTGCTGGTGGGGACCTTTTGTGGCTCTCCAGGACCGACTGGAGTGCTGACTCTCCGGGTGTCAGTAATGGGGATCAAGAGAAGAACAGGGAGGCCCTTCCTGAGATGGGGGAGGCTTTGCTCTGCCTAAGAGGAGCAGTGTTGAGAATAACAGTGGTAAAGAGGGCATCTGTGAGTGCGTGAGCCCTGCGTGTAGGATGTGTGTGCACATGGCTTGTATTTGTCCCATGTGTGGGAGTGTCAAGATTTAAGCTGCAAAAATCAGACAGAGCACACTCATGTTTCTGAATAAAAAGGGATCTGAGCTGCTGATAGCATCATGATCCATGAAGAATATTGTATGTAGCCTCAGGTTAAGGCCAGGGTTGGCCAGAGCCCCAGAGGACAGAAATGCTCCAGTCCCCTGCACCCCAGCCGCCCTGCCCCACTGTGCCTCACAGTGACCCTGCACTGCCAATAGCTCCCCTTCCCCCAAAACCACAGCCCTTTCCTCAGAAATGTGATATGGTCTCACGCAGACCAGAGAGGAGAAGGAGCCTGGTGTCTGGGCAAAGTAGTAAGAGAACATTCTGGCATTTGTGCCTGGTAATGCGGTCAATGGCCAAAGTCTGGAAGGGAACCTGCCAACAACTAAAGAAGGCTATTAGCCCTGCCTTTCCTCACATGTGACCTGGGGGCAAACGCTCCAGGCTTTCAGTGCTTTGGTGGAGGGAGTTACAGGGAGTCAGAGGGGGGTGTTTGTCAGTGGAGGGTGAGGTGACAAAAGGGTGTGGGTCCTCACAATTGGCCTGGAGCCAGCCCACTTCAGAGCCGGGGAGGGGTGGGCGTGGGGCCTCCTGGCTCTCCTTCCCCTCCCGCTTGGCCTTCTCTACCTGCTGCTTCATGCAACCCGGCACCTCCTCCACTTCCACCTGCTAGACGCCCAGCAGAACTGAGACAAGTACTTACAGGAAGGTGAATTTGGAGGTGGTGGTATCCACCAGGCCGCTGCCCCAGGTGCTGTCCACCAGGTGCCATCTTCCCTCCAGGTACACAGCATTCCAGGCATGGTCAAACTCCCCCGAGAAACTCTGCCCTGTCTGGTAGCCGAAGCCCTTGGAGTAGCCAGGCACGGTCATACACTGCACTCCGGCGATCCTGGGGGCAGGACAGGGGGTCTGAGAGGAGGATCCTGCTGCGACTTGCCTCCAAGTCTGTCCATGGTCTCAGGTTTCAGGCATGTTTGCTGCCCATCACTCCTCCCTGCCTATCCTTTTTCTTGCTTCCTATACTCACATATAAACAGCCTTGAGGACTTTTATCTCTGGGCATGGGGGACAGGGAGATACAGTGCTGGCTGGTCCTGTCGGTACAGACTGGCTGCAGTCTCCGCTGTCTGCTCCTCCCCTGAGACCAACACCATTCAGATCACTTCTGAAATGTTCATCCCTAGAGCCTGCTCGACACGCTCCTCAAGCAGCTCTTCAGCAGGAAAAAATGGGGGCAAGTGTGAGGTTGGCTTCAAGAAAATAGGAGCTGGGGAAATGACAATGTTCCTGCAACAAAACCTACACGCAAGGGGTGAGCACAGCTGCTGGGAGAACCAGGGCACTCTGGACATGTGACTGAAGAGATGGGTCTCGTGACACGCGTGAGATGTTGGGGGGTTGCTGGTTGTGAGGGTACAGAAGCCAAGCCCTACTCCGCTGCTATTCCTCCCAAGGAAGCCTGCACGGGAACCCAGGGGCAGGCGGTGGGTGTCTCCAGTCCTGGCCCAGGGAAGACTGGCCAGCTGCCAGCTTGCTCAGGTCTTACTGGTGGGCCTGTCCTTTGTGAACATGGTGCAAGAGCCATCATGGTGCATTCAGGTCATCTGCTGACTGCCTGCCCTGGCCACAATTCTGGAGTCTTCTGTGGCCGTCCTGAGGGGAATGGAAACGCTGACCAGTCAACCTGAGCTTTGGGGTCCTTTTGACATTGTGCTCCCCACTGCTTATGGTAGAGATGGCACCGCTTTCTGGGAACCTGGGTGGGAAGATGGGCATGGGTCATCTCTGGGGATGACATAAAACTAGACATTTGGAGCTGAAACCCTGAGGCCCAGGCCTGGGCTGTGGGCACCAGCCCAAGGCCAAAGCAAGACCCCGGGTATCCTTTCATGGCCAGCTAGTCTTGCTCCTCAGCAGCCCTGCTCCCCCGAGGACAGCCAAGGGGGTGGACTGTGCAGACAATTTCACTGGTAGTCTGACCTAGGGACATCCCATGCTAGCCCTTCTAGGGCCTTTGTGTAAATTAGAAAAGGTGCCGCTTCCTCAAGACATTTTCCTTGCACTCATGGAAAATTGGTGTAATAGATACACAACTGTGAAGCCACGGATGTGCTTGATGCCCCTTTGATGGGGCTCCTTTGAGCACCACGCAAGCTGCTCAGTCCCAACTCAGTGCTGACCCTGTGCTCTACTCTGCTGAGCTGAGTCTGCAGACCAGGATGTTGGTGGGACCTATTTCAGCGAGATGGGCCCATGGGGGCGGTGCCCTTCCACAGACCAGGGCTCCAGCCTCAGTTGCTGTAAGCAAGAGGGCCATGGAGCCTTCCAGGGTAATGGGGTGAAATGGCCATGCATCTACTATAGGAATAGGGGGAATCTTTGCAGTAAAAATGAACATGTAATTTAAAATTAGCAAAATATTACTAATTAATTATTTAATTATTACTAATAATTAAATATTACTAATATATATCACTTGCTGAGAGAATAATTGGGATCAAATGTGATGTCTTGAGGGTTAACAGATTCTACTTTCCCTGCCCTCATTGTTTCTTCACATGCATGCAATGAGGACGTGTTACAATGTCTGCCTTAACCTCTGCTCACCTGCGGAAAGTCCGGGTCACTAGTGCTGAGGTTCCTTAGGGGCTTGGAAGTTTTCCAGACCCTGCCCTTTTGCCTGCTGTTTCACAAAAGGAGGTTCAGGCCTCCTAAGCCCTCTAAAGAATCCCGTGAGAACATACCAGCTGGGCTCTGTGAGAAGGCTTCTTGGAGCACCTGGGGGCATGGGGACAGACTGCAAGAGAAACTAGATCCTGGTGTCATGATTTTCTGCTGGCAAAGGCCATAAGCCACTCCAGGGCAGAAGGAGGCAGTAGCTGAGGAGACCATGGAAGGAAGGGGAGCAGGTGCAGCCTGCATACCTGGAGTGCCCTCTCCTCATTTCTCTGCAGTGCAGAGAGTGGAGGGTGGTGGGGAGTGCTGGGGGATGCAGGGCTGAGGGGGTTGTTCTCAGGATGAGGAAATCTGGATGTGTTTATAGTCTGAGAGGAAACAGCTAGCAGAGAGGGACCAGTGGAAAGCAAGGCCAGGGGAGTGGGTGGAGGTGTAGGGGTGGGATAGACATTCGATAGGAGGTGGGGTCCCATCTACTCAGAGACTGGGTGAGGAAAAGAAATGATGTGAAAAATACTTAGTGAGCTAAACAGTGCCCCTGACACAACGTGAACTGACAACAGCATGTCAGTCTCTCCAGTCAGTGCGATGTCATGCCGATGCTGTGTGTGTGTGTGTGTGTGTGTGTGCGCGCGCGCTGCCTGCATGCACAGAGAAGGAGGGGCAGGGAGCGAGAGGGGAAGAGATGGCACAAAAGGCACCTGGTCTCTTAGCAATGGGATTATAGGTGATTTTAATTTTTTCTTGAAACTTCTCTATATTTTCTAAATTTTTAATAATGATTATGTGTTACTTTGAGAATTGGAAAAAAAAACCATAAATACTACTTAAAATTATATTCTTCAGGAAATTACTTTCCATTGCTGCCTAGAATGTCTGTGCATATCACTTTCTAGGATTATGTGGAGGGATAAGGGGAGTCCTGGGAACAATGGGGCTTGGAGAATGGCTCATTTTGCATTAAGGTGAACTGATTTAGTGGAGCTGTGGGCCTCTGGACATGCTGCCCACTGATGCTTGTCCTCTGCTCAGAGCCACCTGGAGTCAAGGAAGGAAGGAGAGGAATTTAGCATTTGTGCAGCTTCCAGGTGGTGGGGTAAATCAGAGTGGGTATGGAATGTCCTTCTGGGAGAAGCCATGTGTCCAGGGGGACATCCTGCCCTCAAGGGGGTGAAGTGGAGGCAAGATTGGAAGAATGAAGTCAGGGAGCAGCAGCGAGAGTGTGCCCCAGTCCTGGAAAGGAAAGGAGGAGGAAGAAGCGAGGGGCAGGGATGTCCACCTGTACTGCTCTGAGTGGGGGTGGTGGCCCCAGAGCCAGGAAATAAGGTCACCTCTCAGGTCTAATGGTCACCTCATGGGTGGCCTTGCCAGGCTCATCATGGGCAGTGAGAAAGGTTGGCATTAAATGATCTCCAGGGGTTGATTCTTCTCTGGCAGGCTGAGGAGAAGCTGGGAAGGCTGTGGGAAATGCCTGGGGCAGAAAAAAGATGAAAATATAAACTCAGCTATAAGCTTATGCCATGCTTGACTCTGATATGAGGATATTTTATTACCTGGCAGCAATGTGCCAGATGAACTGGACAAAGAAGGTCATAATGTAAAGCATTATTGTAAATATGCCATAATTCTCGTGCAAAATAATCTGTATGTATAAGACAGTGATTGTGGAACTCACAGGAGTTTCGTCTCCAGCCACTCTCGCTAGCCAGGATGAACCACAACTCTTTCATGTCATCAAAAGATCACTGGCCGCACACGCTGTGTATAAAGCATTGTAGCAGGGAATACTATAACATGACGTGGCACCATACAATGTAACACAATGTAACAACATAATAAAATATGATATCCCAAAAATAAGGCTCAGTGGCTGCCCTAGATGTGCTGACAGTTGGAAGGAGCGTGGATATGGGAACTGTCACTGGAACTGTCTCCAGAACTTTGCTTATAAAATGCCAGTCTATAAGCAAAGTCCCAGAGAGCCCAAAGGTGGAGAAATTAACTTTGCAGGCAGGAGCTCAGAGAGCATTGAAGGAGGGGCAGAGCACAGAAACATTTCCACCTCCTGAAGAGCTCGGACCAGCCACCCCAGAGCCTAAAATATCACCCAAGGAGATTTATTTAATGACCTCAGACTGCAGAATCTTCGCTTCTACTTTACAGAACTGACAACCTCAATTCCACCTCCATAGTTCATGGCTGATAGGTATCCCAAGCCACAATGAAAACATGGATGTAAGATGCCCTGAACAAGCTTCCAAGGAGCACCCTGGAGGATTTGGAGAAAGCTGCAGCCCCCTCTCCAGCAAACGTCAGGGCTCAGGGACTCAATCAAAGAAGCCCCGAGGGCTGCAAAGAACCACATGGCCACCAAATGTGACTTGATTTGAAGAGACTGAACAGAGGGGCAGCCAAGCAGAAGGCAATGTCATTACCTGGGTACCCTTGATGAACCCTGAAGCTGCTGAGTCTTCTATGAATGCATTATCCTTATTATTTAAAAAGATCTGCGTGTTCCAGTTTGGTGCAGTGTATCCTAGTGTATTAATTTGGTATTATTTTATACTGAGATGGTCCAGGCCCTGCCGTAGGAACTGTGTGAAGCTGCTACAGTCAGCACCAATGCCAGGCCCCAGCAGCAGTGTGGCTGAAATATCTGGGTGGGCAGGTGCACCCTCCACCAATGGGCTCTGACCATGGTAGACTCTCCCAAATCTGATCACCTCTCCCAGAATGTCTGAGCCAAGTGGGGGAAAAAGGGAGGGAAGGTGCCTGTAGGAGAGACAATGAAGTATGCTTTTCTTTTGCTCTTTTGTTGAAAATACTGTGGTTTCTATACTGCAGCAGGACAAACAAACCATGGCTTATCTTTCACAATTTATGTACTTGATTTCTTATAATCTGACAGTGTGTTTATATTTCTCCCATGTGCTCTCTTTTCCCTTTTCTTACACATTACCCTTACAGCTAGGTCAATAACAAGTAATCTTGCTAATAATTCTCTCTCCAGGGCCCTGTGCAGAACCTCATGAGACGTGACTTCAGAGGCCTCCTCTCCGACAGGTGAGGGAGGAGTCAGCTATTCAGAGAGAGAGGCTGCCTTGCCTGGGGACACACAGCTAGCCAGTGGCCGAAGCAGCAGTGGATGCAGTTGTCCTGATGCACTTTGTGTTACACCAGCTCTTTTGTAAATCAAGATTTTGTTTTGGTCTGTACATTTATAGGTGGTACAGAGAGTGAAATGAAAAGATGGTTTGCACTAGTGACATAGCTTATCTTTGTGAGTGCCATCCTTTGGGGTAGCTATAAGAGTGGGGGGCTAAGATGTCCCTTTCAGAGGCCTTATACACCAGCATCAGATTTGGTGATAATTTAAGGTTATCCAATGAATCTGCATTTCCCAGAAGAAGGCTTAGATGGCCACTCCCTATCTTCTGGGGCCTTTGGAACCAAGTGATGTTTTAGGATTATAGGGGACATACTGCTAACCAGAAGCAGCCATCTGACTGTACACACTCCTGCCCCTGCTCTTGGTGACAGCTAGAGGATGGGTGGAAAGCCAGCTGACATCTGATTGGTGACAACCAGCTCCCTTAGTGTCAGGGCTCAAACTGGTAATAAGCGCCTGGCTTTATCCAAAGTCTGAAAAACCTGCTAGCTGGTGATGTGAAAGCCATGCTAACGGGAAGAGAATTTACTGGAGGCTGACTCAGGGGCAGCAGTCTGGGGAATTAAGCTTGGCTCCTGCGAGGAAATTAGGCAGAATCAATTAAGGATGCGGGCAATTGAGGCAAAGAGACATTAATATTGGATGATAGAAAGTCAGAAGGAAACTGGACCAGCAGTTACAAGCTATAGCACTAACCAAAAAACCCCACATCAGTGACTTGGGAAAGACAGAAGGAAATGAATGAAGTTGTGAAAATATCTGAATTTCCCACCAAATTACTTTATTAAATCAGTCTTTAATGAGGCAATTTCAGGGAGGTAGAATGGACTGGCAAAAAGTAATGATGTCCGTGTGGGTACAACTCTTTCTAAGAAGCCACCCTGACAACCAAGCAGGGATAAATCGGCAAGTGTGGATTACGTGTCCTCAGTTATTAAGGAATTAGCTAATTAATTTACCAAACTTTTGGCAGTTATTTTAAAGGTAAAGAGAGTTAGTAGAGGGATGCATAGATAGGTTACTGATCTTTAAAGAAAAAGTTAAAGGAATTCAGGGGACTGTGAACTATTGTTACGTATCTCAGGCGATGTGAGGAATTTTGCACATGGTAATCACCATGTTGGAACTAACTTTAAATGATGCAAAATGTTAGCGAGAGTTTCAATGATAAGCTGCAGGCCAGAATGGGGCCATTGTTAAGTATCTGGACCTGGGCAAAAAGCTGACAGTTTCACTCAAGGCAAGTGTCAATTTTCTGAATCTGTGCAGGCTGGCGGAGTCTGTAGGAAAGTTCCACAGAGCAAAAGAACTCCAATCAATACTCAAGAAAGACAAGACAGGTTAAAAAACACCCACCCCAAAGTTGGGTTGGTAAACCCCAAAACTGCAGTCTCATTGAGTCCTATAGCCCTGCCAGGTATAGATGAGAGCACTGAGGCTGCAAAAGGTTAAGTGCCTTACCCAAAGGAACAAAACGAATAGGTGGTAAATTAAACACTGGGAGCCAGGTCTTTCTGGCTTTAACTTTGGCACTCCTTCTAAAGGATGCTAGGATGCTTATACTGGATCAAGGAGGCGATACCACTGTACGTGGTAGACCCAGGTCTTTCTAGCTTCGAATCTGGCATTCCTTCTACAGTATGCTAGAAAGCTTATACTGGATAAAGGGGGATATATCCTGGAACTTGGAAAAAATGCTAAGCATTTTCAAATTTGCAAAATCAGATGAAAATAATTATGTTCTGAAAGATGCTAGGCACAAATGGAGCTAAGACTTGTGGCTATTTCATCAGTTAAAAGAGAATAAGCCCCATTCCACGTAAGTCTGCTAGGAATATCCTGTCATTTCCTGTCATTTCTACATGACAGGGAAGGTTGTGGGCTGTCCTGGAGTGGGGCCTGGGAGGAGCACTGGGGAGAGGGAGCAGGTGTGCATGCAGAGGTGGATGGGAAGGTGGTGTCACACAGTGCAAGGCTGGAAACTTGGCTGAGGTCAGATTTTGGAGGACTTTGCCAGACAGTGTGATCCTTTAGCGGTGTTAGGAACCGAGGACCAGGGGAGCCTGGGTAGAGAGGCCAGTGAGGATCCAGGCTCCTGGAGAGGCCCACAGGCAGCAGGGGGTATGCTTGGGTCTGGAGTAGGGGGTGGGAAGCAGCCAGGGTGGCATCTTCTGTACCCTGACCCACCGTGGCTGCCTCTGGGGCTGTGGTCTCAGGAAATGGCCTTGAAAGTGAGAAAAGGGAAAAACAGGGAGCAGAGCAGGAGGTCGTTAGAGCAACTCAGCAGCCGGGTGGGTGCCTGTTCTTGGCAGTGGTGATGGGGGGCAGGAGGCAGCACAACAGGGGGTTTGGGCCAGGAATAGGTTGCATGCACCCAGTGCCCAGCAGCTGCCGCCTCTGCACCGCTGAGGCTATCAAAACTGCCTGCTGTGGACTAAGTGTTACGCTTGTTTTGATGAATTGCCACCTGCAGTTCTGGTGGACTGACATCTGGGTGCCTGAGAAGACTCACTCCCTGAAGCCTACAGAGACAGTGGGCAGCCGTTCATCCACCCCCGGGGAGGGGTTCTTTGATGGCCCCAGGGCTAGCTGACTGTTTTCTGGGGGAACCCAGCAGACCTCAGAGAGTAGGCTCAGGAAGCTGTGGAGGTCAGTGGCCATCCCCTCCCCCCACCCCACATCTTAAGCCTGTTTTGAGTCACTGGGAACCGGCAATGGCCCATTCTCCTGCTCAGGCCAGAGCTGTCTCCCACCCCAGCAACCTGGCCATATGCCCACTCCCAGAGTGCTGAAAATGGAGCCCAGCGACTCCAAGAGAAGCTGCTTCCTAGTGATTCAGCTGTCCAACTGACAAATCTTTTCAGGTGGGAGATCTTTTGTTTCCCCCAAAAGAGGCCCCCTGTGTCAGCCCTGAGGACAGCCTTTCACAGTCCCCTTGGCATCTGCAGCCACTGTCCTCCCGCTCCCAGGCCTGCTATTCTTTTACCCTTCAGCTGCATAGAGATGGGAGAAGGCGGAAAAAAGGCTTTTTATAACCAAATTATCTCTGTGCATTCATCTGCCATTATGTTAATGCATCGCGAAGCCCGGCAGATGGTACAAAGTCAATTATGCTGGTGTTAAAAAGGGAGAAATTGACCTTTCCAGGACTCACTTGGGTTCCAGAGCAGAGTTTGCAAACTCAGGTTTCAGGCCTGGCATGTGGGCAAAGGCACATGGCACTGTGGAAGAGGGAGAGGGATGGATCTGGTGGTCAGCACGGGGACTCCTGTCTCTCGTACCTGCACATTCTCTCAAAGAGGCCAGCGTAGCCGTCACAGTTGGTCTTCTGGGTCCGCAGGATGTCAGTGGGTTTGAAGGCTTGGCGGTCCTTCTCCTGAGCAGCTGCAATGTCGTACTCTACAGGGCGGGTGAGGGGATCATGAGGAACCTGAGCCTGGGAGGCGAGAAGACTCCACCCCCACCCCTAGCTGTGCTCTGGCCGCCACCAGCCCCAGGAAACCACAGTGGGCTGAATGGAACTACAGCCGCAGCCCACATGGGATCTGTGGAACTGTCACCTCTTTTTGCAAGTGGTGAGAGGAGGAGCAGGCCTTGGCAGAGGGTGCCACCTGGCTCCCCAAACCCCTGAGGAGGGGCTAGGAGGAGAAGGGAGTAGGACAGTGCAGGGGCATGGGGCTCTCTCTGCTAATCCCCACCACACAGCTCTGCACACAGTTCCAGTGAAATCACTGATCCCGTCTTCCTGCAGCCCGGAGGCCTCACGCTGACCCATAGGGCACACAGAGCTCGTCCCCAAGTGGAGAAGGCTGCTCTCCCACAGCCTGTCACTTCACTAAGGAGGGGATGAAGACATTGCAGAGAAGCCTGAGGCCTGCGGTGAGGCCGTAAGGCAGAAGTCTCTGTAGCCACTGAGGACCCAAAGGGACTGTGCATGTGTGTATTGGCATGGGGATAGGAGCGGTAACGAAGTCCTATAAATGTCCTGTTTCTGACCCTGCCTCTTTAAGGCACAGGCACAGCTGGTGGAGTTGGGATGGGAGCTGGGGGTCTCTCAAATCCTCAGTTTGGACCTCCTACCTGTGCCTGGCAAGCTCATTCTCTAAGCTGCATTCCCAACTGTTGTTCCAGAAGAACAAAAGAAAAGCCCAGTGGCAGCAGGCTGAGAAAGACCCAGCTGGTCTTTATGTCAAAGGACTAGGAGTCCACCTCGTGATCTGGCCCTGTCCACTCTCATTTGTGTTTGCAAGGGGGCAAGGGGCAGCATCCCTTAGCCACCACCTCTGCAGTTCTGCTTGACCTGGGAGCTTCCCAAGGCCATCCTGTGGAGAGCTGTGGGCAGCTGCATAGGCCTACGTCCCTCAGGTGGCTCCAAGAACCTTGGAGACTGAGCTGGGACTAGTGGCCAACATTGCTAGTGTAGGAGCAGGAAGTGGAGAACCCACTTTTCCTGGCTCTGGTATTTAATGAACCCTCTGATATTGCAATCACTTTTCAAACAGCTGCAAATTCTCCCCACCAATGATCATCCTTCTTTGAGATGACCTGCTGCTCCGGGCTCTCAACTCTGTGGAGATGAGACAGAGGGAAGGCTGGAACAGAGGGAAGGCTGCTGCTGGATGAAGTTTCCAGCTCTGGGCACTGGCTATGGGCAGAAGGCTGCAAGGGATTCTCCTCCAACTAACTTTCATGGAGACTAATAGCACATGGTAAATTTTATCCTCCTTGGTAACTCTCTGGTTCATCAGTCCAGTCTCCTGGGTCCCTCTCCCCGCCCACCTTTCATGTCACTCTGCACACGTGAATAACCTGATAGGAGCAGAGGCCTGCGGGGAAAAGAAGCAAGGGATTCTAGAGCCAGCAGTGCCACAGGTGGGCCTACCTATGTGATGGCAGATCCAGATCCAGATGGCACGGACCCTTTCCAAGTCAGTATGGGCCTCCTGGAGCAGGTCACTCACCAGTTCGTCTAGGCCACTCTTGGCTGTCACCTGGGGAGCAGGAAGGGGATGCTGTATTAGGGCCTCAAGGAGGGGCTGTTGACAGCCCAATACCTTGCACCTATAGCCCGTGCTGCTCTTCCCCCAGGCAGAGAAGCTGGAGGAGAGGCCCTGAGGGGCAAAGGCTGGCTGAGGACCAATTGGGAGGAGGTGGGGGAAGTTGGACAGGGCAGGTGGTGCTGACCAGCTCAATCACAGGCACTAGAGCCACCACAGCTTTTCTCTGCAGATCTGGGGGCTAGCCAGGCAGGCATCTGGACAGCTGTAGCAGCCCCTGGTCATGGTCAATACTAAGGATTTAACATAATCCTTATCAAAATTCCAATAGCTTTTGGTGCTGAAATGGAAAAATCAGTTCTCAAATTCCTATACATTCCAAGTAGCCAAAACAATTTTGAAAAAAGAACACATTTGAAGGACACAAATTTCCCATTTTCAAAACTTACTGTAGAACTACAGTAATCAAAACAGTTTGATACTGCCATAAAGATTATATAGACAAATGGAATATAACTGAGAGTCCAGAAATGGACCCACATATCTATGGTTAGCGGATCTTTGACAAGGGTGTCAAGTCCATTCAGTGGGGAAAGAAGAGTCTCTTTTACAAATGATGCTGGGACAATTGGGTTTCCACATGCAAAAGAATAAAATTGGATCTCTACCTCATGCCATATACAAAAATCAACTCAAAATGGATCAGTGACTCAAATATAAGAGCTTAAACCGTAAAACTCTTAGAAGAAAACACTGGGGTTAATCTTCATGACCTTGGATTTGGCAATGAATTCTTAGATATGGCACCAAAGGCACAAGCAACAAAGAAAAAAACAGATAAAAGGCCATTCGTGAAAATAAAAAATTTCTGTACATTAAACGATATCATTTAGAAAGCAAAAAGATAACTTACAAAATGAGAGAAAACATTGCAAATCATATATCCAATAAGGGCTAAATATTCAGAATATAAAAAGAACTCCTAGAACTCCACAAAAACAAAACCAACCCAATTCAAAAAGGGGCAAAGGACTTGAACAGATATTTCTCTAAAGAAGATATACAAATGGCCAATAAGCACATAAAAATTGCTCAACATCCTTAGTCATGAGAGAAATGTAAATCAAAACCACAATGGGATACCACTGCGGACCTAATGAAATGACTATTGAAAAATGAAACCAGAAAATAATGTGTTGGCATGAATATGGAGGAATTGGAACCCTCGTACGATGCTGGTGGGAAGGTAAAATGGTGCAGCTGCTGTGGACAACATTTTGATAGTTTCTCCGAAAGTTAAATGTAGAATTATCATATGATCTAGCAATTTCAGTCCAAGGTATACACCCCAAAAAACTGAAGGCAGAGACTCAAACAGACATTGTTTCCCCAGTGTTCATTGCAACAAATCCACAATAGCCAAAAGGTTAAAAAACATCCATCCATGAATGAAAGGACAAATAAAATAGAGTATATACAGTATGTATACTATATAATGGGAATATTATTCAACTATAAAAAGAAGGAATTAAGTTCTATATATGCTACGACACGGATGAACCTTGAAAACATGATGCTAAGTGACATAAGCCAGACACAAAAGGACAAATATTGTATGATTCCACTCATATGAAATACCTAGAGTAGGAAAGGTCATAGACAGTAAGTAGAGATTACTGGGGGCTGGGGGAGGAGAAATGGGAATTTCATTGCTTAATGGGTACAGAGCTTCTGTTTTGGGTGATGAGTAGACAGCATTGTGAATATAATTAATGCTAGTGAATTGTACATTTAAAAATTATTAAAATGGCACATTTTATGTTATTTTATGATAAAAAAGAACAAATTAGTTTTCTTCCTAGGGGCCCTCAGGGAAACAAGGCTGAGATTGCTGGAAAGGTGGCCCTGACCATGTTTAATCTCTATAGAGAAGCTGGGGCAATGGGTCCTGCAATGGTGCCCACATTCCCTGCAGCCCCCACCTTGAGGGTACTCCAGGACCTTGTTTTCAGCTGGAACCATCTCACTGCTCACAAGGGACTCCAGGACCCACCTGCTGACCACTGGCCCAGCACACTGGCACCCTGACCTCTGGAGACCTCTGGGTCCCTGTTCTACTCTCTCAGCCGCTTTCTGTTTCATTTTCTTCTATGTCCAGCTCCAACGCCACAGACTTTGTCCTTGTCCCTGTCCCAGGGCCCCGAATGGTACTCAGCATTGCTGGCCTGCACTGCAGCCTGGCGTCCTGACTTAGCCTTCTACTTCAGTGCCATGGCTTCTGGTCCTTTGGTCCCCACCTCCTGGCCCCACCTGGGCCTGGCTTGCTCTGGCCACTCCCTGCTCTGTGGCTGGGTCTCTGGCCTCCGCTGGCTTCCTGGCACTGTTTTCTGAGTATGGCTAGCAGCCTGACCCATCCCTTCTGATGGCCATTACAAAAGTCCGGGCCCTTTGCAGACTCCTGACCCCACCGACTTCCCTCAGTCACAGGGAATGGCCTGGCCTCCACTTCACAGCAGGCCAGGTGGGACTTCCTCACTAAGAGCCTCATCCTTCCCTCCTGCTTCAACTATCTCTATGTCTCAGATCTTCAGCCTTTGCAGGGACTTCCCCTCTTCAATCAATGGCCTCCTTCTCCTATGCCCTCACCTCCTCCCTTCCTTTCCTGGCTGCCCCATGCCTCCTTGTTCCCCCACCTTAGGATGCCCTCCCAGTCTCCTCAGTTCTGCTCATGTCTAGCCTCCCCTTCTCTGCAGGCTCCTGTGGGATCTTCTCCTCACTCCCCACTACTCACCTCCTGCTTGCTCTTCCACCCACCTGAGGTCTGAGGCCTGAGGCTCCAGCCCCTGTGCACTGCCCCTCTGGAGGTAAGGTGCACTTTGATGCTGCAGTAGCCAACATGAGTCTGCCCTGATCTCACTTGAGCAGATAGCACAGCTCACACTGTTGACCACGCCTGCCCCAGGGAGCCCCTCCCTAGAACTTCCAGAACTCTGACCCTTCCTGGCCTTGCCCCAGCCTCTTTGATGGCTCCACGCCCTATGGGCTTCCTCCGCCCCTGCAATATGATACCCAACCTATGGCTTCAGCTCTTAATGAAATCTGATGACTCCCAATCAGTGTCTCCAGCCCAGACCTTTCCAGGCTTGTATATTCAGCTGCCCAGGGGGCAATTCCCCCGGATGTGCCACAGAGAGTAGGGCCCCTCATATCCCAAACACACTCACCCCCTAAAACCTGCTCCTTCTCCCTTGCTCCTCATGGGGAGGCACTGATCCACCCTCAATCCAGCCGTCCGGGAGTCCCTCTCCCCCACCTCCCACCCACTCCACACCTACTGGTGATGGAGTTCTTCCCCTCTGCCCCTAGCTCAGGATTGGCCTTTCCACTCCTCTGTTTCCTCAATGTCTCCACTTAATCCAGGTCATGTCTTCTGCCAGGACAGGAGGATGCCCTCAACTCATGTCCTTACTTCTCATCTGGCTTTCTTGATCCATGCACTCACCATCCACTCATTATTTCAACAAACAAGGTTCCTGAGTACCTACAAGGTGGCCTTTCTAAGATCACTTAATGTCCTAACTTCGCAAAAGTGTTCAGCACCTTGTTCCTCCTATCAGACTCTCCGTGCTGAAGCTCCTGCCTGGCTCCAATGACTCCCATATGTCCCTAGTGTTTCAGCTCTTCATCTGCCCCTCCCACCTGCACCTGAGACATGCTCAGGCCCAGAGGCGTGAGAGCTTGGCAGCTCATGCACTTCGGAGGTGAGCACGGCTGTGATTATAGTGGTCATGGCCATCTACATCCACGGTCCTCCCATCCTCTCCTCCCTTCCTCCATGGACTGGAGGTGGGCAGAGCTTAGAAGCAGAAATGCCAAAAGGGGCATGGAGAAGGCCGGTCAGGGCTGGCCAGAGGGGCCCGCCAATGAAGCGCTCCAGGGTGTGTGGTATTGGGTGGGAGCAACAGGATCGTGGGTGGGGTGGGGGATGGAAGGGCCTCTGGCCCTGGGCAGGGGCTGCTGCTTTGTGCCTTCTGTCCCCATCCATATGCTATGAAAAGGCATTCCAGGGCCATCCAACCAAGCCACTCAGGTTATGCTCAGGAGGTGTCTGGGGAGAGGCTTTGCTAGAACTCTTGAGCCACCTCGAAGGGGCCCATGGTCAGAGCAGCCAGCTCTCCTACCTGTGAGGCGTGGAGATCCAGTTTCTCAAACTGCCGCAGGTCCAGGGACATGGATTTCAGGCTGGATCGATCCCAAGGGTAGGCTGGAAACACAGGGCAGCTTGGTCAGCAGCTGAAACCCACTGAGGAGGGCTGTCTGGCCTAGGCCTTGCTGTCTCTTTGAGGAGCTGTGGCTGTCCAACTTTTAAGACAATTCTCAAAGCCTGAAACATTGAGCCTAAGAGCTATATGGGAACTTTCCTAGAAGGGTCCCCTGATCAAGTTAGTTTGGGAACTATGGCAACTCCCACAGTCCTCTTAGAGGCCTACAGGGAACATACGCCTACTGCAGACTCTGAGAAGTCAGAAGTAGGAAACAGGCTTAACCTCAGTTAACCCAGCAGTTCCCAGACATATTGATGATGGAATCTCCTTTTTCCCACCGTTTGGTTTTCCGTGGATTCCCTGTTATTTTTCCCGGGAATGAATGCTCTTTGGGGAGTGTCCAGGCAGTGCTGCTCATGCTCACAGGCTCAAGGAGGGAGGTCTGTGCCACAACCACAGCGCTGGGGTGGAGGTGCCAAAGGACACCTGGGTGGAGAAGGAGGGCATGGAAAGGCCGGGCCATCTGGGTCCTGCAGGGTAAGGTGCGTTTGGCACCCAGATAGGCTTCCTCCTTTGCCCTTGGTCAACTGGAGACTTGAGCATCTCAACCATGTGTGATGGCATTCTGGTAACAGGGCCCTGAGAAAGGCTGGGCCTCCAAATCACTCATCTATGCTTAGCCTTACTCACAGGGAGCCTCCTGCCCAGAGACCAAGCCATGAGTCAGGTCTCTGAGACAGAGCTATAGGGAGGGGAGAAAACTCGAGACCAGTGCTGATGCAGGGCCAGCAATCATGCAAGCTTCCCACTGGACACAGGACAGCTATAATCAGCTGCTGCTGGGGGGCTGCTGCAAGGCTGCCTGGCCAATGGTTAGACCAACAGATGCATGGACAGCAGACCGCTGTCCCAGCCCAGAAGAGAGCCTGGGCTCTGGCAGATCCTTTCTTAACCAAGGTTCCCTGAGTCAGGCAGATCAAAATCAGGGAGGCTGGGTGGGAAGACAGGATAGGAGTAGGAAGAAGCTGGGACCAAAGAGGAACTCAGCCCCTGACCCAGGTGGACCCACCCACCTTCAGCCTCCATGTCCGGAGCCTCTGGGTGCTGGGCAAGTGAGGTGTGTTGGAGAGGCCCCAGGGTATGGTAGGAAGTCTGGGACGAGTAGGGCCATGTGAGAAAGCACCGGATGGGCCTGCACTTCTACCTTGGTTCCAGTCTGGTTCTGACCTCCACCTTGCTGGGAGGGACTGGACCCAGCTCCCCGGCCTCAGGTACACATCTGTGGGATTCCCGGGAGCATGAATGAGATGGCAAATCATGTGATGTTAGTGACACACTGCTCTCTGGGAGGGTGCAGGGTGTGGGGCTCCTCTGCAAGTACATGCAGGGAAGGACATGCGGCCTCCCTGCCTGGTGGGGGACACTGCAGGTGCATTTGCCCACACATCCTCAGGGCTGCCACTGTCAGTGAGAGTCGCTTAATCTGGTGCTATTAGACCTGAAAGATGTGGGGAGGGGTGTGTGTCACCTCTAGACCTCGCCCCAGCCCTTTTGTGACCCTCTTCTGGGCCAGCGTGGTTTGAGAGGCAATGCCCACTTACTGGGGAGCTGACCAATATTTGGGCCCAGGGGTTTCTTGCCTGGCCACCATGACTTATGTCATCAACCCCTGCCCTGTGTGGTCCAAATGCAGCCAGAGAAGACGGGATACTCAGGCAGGCCCCTGCTGAGCCTTCCCCCTTCTCAGTGCCCTCTCCCTCTGCAGAATCTGTTCCTATCATTCTCTCACAAGAGCTATCAGGGTGACCTAAGTGCATTCAAAGTGGACTCACACATCCAACAGATTTCCACTCAGTATAGCTCTGCAAATGAGGCCTCCCTGCACTCCTATTTAGAATAAAGGTGGCATTTCTAAAATGCTATTAAAAACCCTATTACTAGTTTTCCCCTTTCTTGGTTCCATTTTCCAATATCTGAACATTAAAAATGCCCATGATTTATGCCTCATTAAATCTACCTGTGAGGAGATTATATAAGACCTAAATATGATTCTACATAAATACATTTAATATATCAGTGCCATTAAATTATTCTGATTTTAAAGCAAAACAATAGGAAGAAGTATGGCGCTGCACCCAGCCTTAGATAACATCTGGTCTACTAAGGGGGAAACTGAGGCAAAGGGAAGGCAAATGAGGGGCAAAAGCAGGATTCCAACACAGGCTGTCTATCATGCCTCTCATTCCTCTGCCTCACTCTGCTTATTCACATGCCTCCTACCTTACAGACATTTGGCATTCCATTTAAAGTTAACATAATCCTGAATTATGATTTTAATATGTTTCCTATAATGGTCTGCCTTGTTATTGGCGGAGGTACACTTTAGCTTTAGGATGACATCTGGTGCATGAGCTTTTTCCTTCTCCACCTGTATCCATGGCAGACATTGCTAATCAATCATGACACTCTTCCCCTCCTGAACCCAAAGGTGGCCCCAGCCTCTCAGCATAGTGACCCAGGAAGCAACTGCCAATTGGAGATTAGTCTATGGGCTAACCCCATGTGCTCTCTTGAGAATTCTCCTGGAAGACTCTGGAACTTACCATGGGCATCTTTCCCTCCAGGTTGCCGGGGTCTTGTGTTTCCATTTTTATCACCTTGTAAACCTACAATATTCCAAAGATTAGAAGTATAGATACTTCAGAAGAAACAGAAATGCAAGCACTGATGACTCATCTTCTGGTGGTCCTTGCTTTTGACCCCTCCTCTGTACTCTCCTTTTCATAGCTTCCTTGTTCCCACCCCACTGACCACAGAATTGCTGCTGGAATTGCCAGGAACTTCCTAGTATGGCAGAAGGAAGACTAAGAACCAGGAAGTGGCTGACAAGAAAGGGAGCTGCATTCTGCAACTGGAATTAGTATTTGCTCTGACCTAACACTTTGGATGATTCAGTGGGTCCTCCTGGAACCTGGTGTTCCTGCCCTCTTTTGGATTTTCCTGCTTTCTTGAATCCACTGCCAGATAATGCTGGGATAAGAACTGACCATGGATGGAAACAAAGATGCAGAAAGGGGAAAGCAGTTCTAATGGAGGTCAAAACCTAGAAGGGTCAGGTCATAATTAAATTATTCCTTGGGAGGATTAAAGGCCAACTGAATCCCATAAATCTAAGACTGTAAAGGCAGAATCATAGCCAATAGTTATTAGACTCCCTGGGCAAAAGGAAAGGAACTTTTCCTGCTGATCTGGAATCAGGTCAGGAAGATTTGGGTCCCTGATGGGATCAGGAGGAGTTGAAGGTGGGGATGCCAAAGCAGGTAGTTTTATGCCCCTGAAGGCCACTTTAGGCTATAAATATAACAAAGAAGATTGCAACCACACGCAGGTCATTCTGAGAAACAGTGCTCCATTTATTTCTCACACCTGCATTTTGTATTTCGCACCTACATTTTTTTCCCACCTAAGTTTTTGATAGAATGATAAAGGTTCAAAATGATAGCTAGCATTTGTTACACACTTACTCTGCCTGGTTTGGGCTTTACATTTACTCTCTCATTTAACTCATTATAATCTTATGAGGCAGCTTCACTTATTTTCCTTCTTTTATAGATGAGAAAACTGAGTTTAAAAGAGGGGTTAGGCCACTGGCCGAAGGTCACACAGCTGAAACATGAACCAAGACAGTCGACCCTAGAGCCTGCCCTCTTTACAGTAGACTACTCTCTTGAGATCCTGACTGCTGACAACTACAGGACCAGACAGTTTTGGAGGACTGTGGCTCACTGCATGGACCTAAAAAGGACTTGAGCCTCAGTTGTTCTGCAGCCTCTGTTACTTAACCTGCATTCCTCCTGAGGTCCCTGTTTAGCAATAAGGTGGACAGATGCAGGGAGGGGACTGAGAAGGGAGTTGGGGAGACATCATGGTCCTGGGCCTGGGCCTATGTGCACTGCACTGAGGGCTGAAAAGTATGCTGGTTAAGACCACAGGCTTCAGAGTCATACCTGGGTTCTGACCCACTTCCTAGCTGGGTGACATGGGTAGTCACTTCACCTCTCTAAGCCTCACTTTGCTGATCTAAAAAGTGGGGATAATATTAGTATACATCAAAAGGTTAAAAAGTTAATAAATGTTAAAGTACTTAGCATTTTGCATGCCACTTTTTGGGCAGTAAACAAATGGTATCTAAAAGCCACAGCAACAACACTCTTGTGATGCAGTGTGTCTTCAGCTAAATGTCTTGTGTTACCTATGACTAATTCCAGAGATGCAAAATCAGTGGTAGCTGGGTGTGGAGAAAAGGGTCTCCAAGGATGAAGCTGTCATGCTTCTGCCTTTTCCCAGTTTGCAGGCCCATGTCACTCTTCTCCTTCCCTCAGAAGATGCTTGCGCTGGGATCTGGCCCAACCAGCTGCCTTCAATCCTCTCTGCCAGCCCTCCACCATGAGTACCTCTGTCATACATACGTTTAGCCAAGGAGAACTTCTTGAGTAGCTGGGGCATGGCATCTCGAGGGTGGACTTCCACAGTCAGTTGTGTCCCTACAAAGGAAAAAGAGATGACATTCTCAACCAGATGCTGCCAGGAAAGGGTAAATGCCTCATGACTGATGATTGAATAACAAAACAATTAGTTTTAGAACTTTCTTTTGTGTGTGCAAATCATCCTTGCTTTTTTCTTTAAATCAAAACAACAACAAACCAAGCAGATAGTTTCCAAATTCAGGCAAGATGGAGTAAAGCAAACTCAGCCCTGTCTCTCCCACTGAATGCAATTATAAACAATGTACTGAATGTAAGGGGCAACTATTAGAGGATTCTGCAAAGTAAATAATAGAATAACTGGCAAAAACTGGGAAGAATTTTTAAAGCATTAGCAAATTGACAGTGAATTTACCATTCTTCTTCCCCCTCTGGTATCATCTAGACTGAACTTAAAGGCATTCTCAAACCCAGAAGGGTGCAGTGGATGCAGAAAAAGAGCACACAAGAGAAATCCTCTCTCTCTGGCCTGCAGAGTGAGAAAGGGAACCCCTAAGAGTCAGAGAGAGCAAAAGAAATCTTTTGTTGGTTTTCCCCCTCTTTATTCTGTTACTTCCCAACTCAGTCCCCAGGCAATTCTGTTGGTAGCAATGGCAGCAGTGATGTTGGTGGCCATGCAGGCACCTACAACTTTGGGGCAAGGATAACTATTTTCTTCTACCAGAGAAGTTACAGTCCCAAGAAAATGAGGGCAAATATTTATTGTTTTTTCTCTCTGTTTTCTGCTGATTTGCCCCAGATGCAGACACAGTTGTGAGGCCCATATGGCAGAGTGAGGAAACTGAAGCTCCAGCTTTTTGGGTAGAGGAATGAGAAATGGGTCATGAAGAGGGGGGAGCTCAAGAAGGCAATTCCATAAAGTTGTAGATGGACTCCTGTGGTCACCTCTGAACTGTGCATGCATGGATCTCATCCTAAACATCATACCACAGTCTTCAGGAAGTAAACTATGGGGTAGATTAATGCCCAGGTCCCAGACTGGCCACTGGGTAGTGCACATGCAGGGCAGATCTGTATAGCATTGCAAAGTCTACAATTCAAAATTACTCAGCTACAAAGACTCAGGAAAATCTTAATTTGAAAAGGAAAAGATAATCAACAGATGCCAACTCCACACAACTCCACACACAAAAAACCAGCCACAATAACATGCTCTAACAAGTAATGGCAAGCAGTTTTGAGATAAATGGAAAGATATAAAGTATCAGCAATAAAAAGAAGATATAAAGGAGAAGTAAGTGAAGATTTTAGACTGAAAAATATGGTTAAAAATCCTCTGGATATACTCAATAGCAGAATGAAAATGACAGAGAACACAGAGAACTTGAAGATAGATCAGCAGGTATTGTCCAGTTTGAACAACAGAAAATGTGAATAGTGCCTCAGGGATCTGTAGGTCCATACCTAAAAGTCTAACATTCATGTCACTGAAGTCTCAGAAGGCAAACAGAAATAATGTGATGCAGAGAAAATATTTGAGGAAATAATGAAAACTTCTGAAATCTGGCAAAAGACATAAAACCTTACTGATTCAAGAAACGCAGTGAATTCTAAACAGGATAAATGTAAGAAAATCCAAGTCCAGACGCATAATCAAACTATTAAAGAAAAAAATATGGAAAGTAGCCAGTGAAAAGTGATGTAAAGCCAAGAGAATTTGGTACCAACACACTTGCTCCAAAAGAAATGCTAACGGAAGTTCTTCAGATGGAAGAGAAATTATACCAGAGGAAAACTTGGAAGAGGGATAGAAATGGTAAATATCTAGATAAATATATTAGTCTGCTCTCCTCTCAAGTTCTTGACAATATGAATAATAATTGAAAGAAATAATTATAACATCTGATAGGTTTTTGATAGATGTGAAATATATGACAACTACAACATAGAGTAGGAGAGTGAATGTACCTATATGGAGGTAAGATTTCCTCATTCTACTTGAAATATTAATATTAACTATAATTAGTCTATGAAAAGTTAAGTACATATAATACATACAAAAATAGGTATATATAGAGATATAGTAAAAAACTTAATAGGCAAATTTAAATGTAATTCTGAAAGGAAAGGAAAGCAGGAAAGAGGAAACAGAGGCACAAACAGAAAACAAATAATAAAGTAGAAAACCTAAATACAAATGTATCAATAATTACATTAAGTGTAAATGGTCTAAACATACTAATTAAAAAAAAGAGATTGTCAGAAAGGGTAAATACATAAGATTAAACTACATTCAGTTTCCAAGGATCCAACTTTAACTACTATGATATAGGTTGGTTAAGTGAAAAGATAATAGAAAGCTGGAGTTGCTATATTAATATTGGACAAAGCAAACTTCAGAGAAAGGAAAATATCGGGGACAGAGGAATATTAGCAAGAATACATAACAACCTTCAATATACCTATGTCAAACAACAACAAAGTTTTAAAATGCATGAAACAAGAACTGATAGGATGAAAAGGAGGAATAGACAAATCTATTTTCTATATATTTGCTGATTTTTCAGTCATTGAAAGAATTAATTGAAAGAAAATCAGCAAATATATAGAAGAAATGAACCACACAATGAATAAAATTTATTTGATGTTTATAAAAGATTCCATCTAATAACGGCACAACACACATTCATGTCAAATGCCCATTGAATAGTCACCAAGATGGACTACATCCTTGGTCACAAAACAAACCTTAAAAAGTTGAAGAGAACTGAAATCATACAAAACTCTTCTCTGACCATAATGAACTAAACTAGAAGTAAAAATCAGAAAGCAACTGGAAAATTTCCAAATATTAAAAATTAACATACTTTCAAATCACACATAGATCAAAGAAGAAGTCTCAAGGAAAATTCAAAAATATTTTGAACTCATTGAAAATGAAAATAAAACACATCAAAATGTGTGAGATGAAGCCAAAGCAGTGCTTCAAGGGGAAATTTGTAGCATTAAATTCTTATTACAGAAAAAAGAAAGGTTTCAAATCAACAATCTAAGCTTCCATTTTAAGAAAGTAGAGAAATGAAGACTAAATCCAAGGCAAGCAGAAGGAAGAAAATCATAAAAATGAGAGAATAAATCACTGAAATTAAAAACAACAGCAGAGAATAATGAATGAAACTAAATGCTGGTTCTTTTTAAAATAATACTGATAAACAGATCAGTAAAGATTTTACTGATCTGACCAAGAAAAAAAAGAGGTAAGACACAAATCAGGGGTAAATACACCAATATCAGGAATGAAATGAGGGCTATCACTGTAGGCCCTCATAAGTATTAAAATAATAATAAAGGAATGATACAAAACCTATGTGTACATAATTTCTACAACTTAGAATAATATTGGGAACAAGTCATAGATGTCCACTTTCACTGATCCTAATAATATTGTACTAGAAGTCCCACCCTGTGTAGTAAGACAAGAAAGAGAAATAAAAGGCATACAGATTGGCAAGGAAGAAATAAAACTGTCCTTATTCATAGTTGATATGTCTGTCTACATAGAAAATCCCAAGTAATCTCCAAGAAAAAGCTCCTAGAACTAGTAAGTTAGTTTAGCATGGTCACAGTATACAAGGTTAACATACAAACATCAATTGTATTTCTGTATACTGGCCATAAGCAATTGGAGATGGAATTTAAAAATAACCATTTCCCATAGTTCCAAAATTAAAATATTAGTTCTAAATCTAAAACAAACAAAAATCCCAAACATGGGTAATAATCGCGTACTGAAAACTCCAAAATATGATTAAACACATTAAAGAGGATTTAAATAGATAGGGAGACATACCATGTTTATGGATTGGAAGACTTAGAATTGTCAAGTGGGCAGTTCTCTCAAAATTGATCTATAGATTTAATACAAGTTCAACCAAACACTTTGGGGGAACTGTGCAAATACATAATTATAAAATATAGATATCAAGGCACAGGAACTGGAATAACTAAACTAATTTTGAAAAAAAAGATGGGAGGACTCCCACTCTTTGATTTTAAGATGCATTAATGAAGATGCTGTAATCACAACAGTGTGATATTGGTAAGAGGATTAAACAGATCAATAAACAATAATAAAAAATAGACTCACACAAACATGGCAAAATAAATTTTTACAAAAGTGCAAAGGCAATTCAATTGGAAAAAGGGAAAAAGAACAGATATTTTACCATAAAAGAGATTATGGATGGAAAATAAGCACATGAAAAGATGTTCAGCATCATCAGCCATTAGGAAAAGGCAAGTTAAAACCAAAATGAGACATTACATCTATTAGAAGAGCAATAATATACAACTGGCCCTTGAACAATATGGTTTTGAACTGCACAAGTCCACTCATATGTCCTTTTTTTCTACCAGATGCAGATGCAGAGTACTGTTCGTGGAGTGCAAAACTCGCATGTAGAGGACCAACTTTTCCTATATGGGGTTTCTGCAGGGACGACTGTGGGACTTGAGTATGCCCACATTTGGTTATATGTGGGTGGTCCTGGAACCAATCCCCCATGTATACTGAGGGGTGACTGTAATTTAAAAATAGTGATAATATCATATGCTGACAAGGATGCAAAGAAATTGGATCTCATATATTGCTAGTGGGATTGTAAAATAGAACAGTCACTCTGGAAAATTGTTTGGCAGTTTCTTATAAAACAAAACATGTACTTACCATACAACCTAAAAATTGCCCTGTTGGGCATTTATCCCAGAGAAATGAAAACTTATGTTCACACAAAAACCTGTACACAAATGTTTATATAGCAGCTCTATTCATAATCACCCCAAACTGGAAACAACTTAAAAGTCCTTCAGTGAGTGAACTGGATAAACAACCTGTGGTACATCTGTATCAAGAAATAGTTCTCGGCTGGGCATGATGGCTCATGCCTGTAATCCCAGCACTTTGGGAGGCCGAGGTGGTTGGATCACTTGAGGTCAGGAGTTTGAGACCAGCCTGGCCAACATGGTGAAACCCCATCTCTATTAAAAATACAAAGATTAGC